ATCATGGATGGATGTCTGATATATCGGCTCCGCACGATCAACGAAATGTAATAATGCAGTGGACACATTCTCAAAATATGAATCTCTTGCAGTATCAGTAGCTTTGCTTCTTACCCAAAACATTTCTCACCGCTTGAAGGTATTGATGATAACGATAATGCATTTATATCAGTAATGCTGCTGAACGCCCGTTACAAAAAGTAACTGCCATCATTTGTTGACAGGTACTTGTCCAACAACCAGTTGGAGGACTTACCAAAAGAGATATTCATGAAGAATACCAACCTAAGTTATCTGTAAGTCAAAGTAAAGACTATTCCTCCTAATTTTAATCTTGCAGGCAATGTAAAAGAACAATGCACAGGGAAAACGAAAGTGTTGAACAGATAGTTGTAACAGTTATTACACTGAAATGATCAGACATATTCACCAAAGTTAAAAAAAAATGTATTATTGTTTAAAATAGAATATTGATAGACGAGGCCACACTTTATAGTCGTCAATCAGACAATCGTTATGATATATGTATATCAACCCAGTTCAGAGGTTCTTAGCCTAGTTACCCTTCGAGTTTTAGGGTGGGAGGAAGGAGGCGGGGAGGAAAGTTGCGTAGCCACTGGAGGCTTATTTACTTCCATCCTTGGGGGAGGAAACTCGTCCCCTTCCGTTCGATTCTGCCAGCGTGAAATCCCTAGCGTCCTTTTCGCGGTAAAAAGCTTGACGGGTTACCAGGACAAGACATAAAACGAATGACAATCTTCTTTCGCTTGCTGTGGATTCAAAGTATTTTGTAGGGGCCATGGGGGGAAGGTTGAAAGGAAAAGGGGCTGTAGTCCAATATCTCTAGTAATAAAATATAAATTACTCTAATCAATAACGCTTCAGATATATTGTGACGAGATATATACAAAAGAAGTACTTGAATCTTTCAATTCTACAAGAAGTAAGGTGACAATGGTAGAAAGAGAATCAATTTAAATTGAATAAACCTATCTGAGACTCGCATGAGAAGAATATAATTAGTAATATTAGAGATATTGTATAATAACATTTTCATTTGTCAACTTAAAGTCAGCCTAAACACATATAATTAGGGACAATGACACTTACAGTGTATATATCTAGTAGAATATCATCAAATGTTACAACTTTCATATTAGAGCCGTTATACCGCGTGGGATATTTTGTTTTGGTTACAATGCGAACAATTTTTCGAATAATATTTACTTAATTGCTAAAAAAAATATTAAAAGTGATGACAAAAAAATTACAGCGTAACAAGGTTAGTTGTTTTTGGTATCGGAGTTTTCAGAAGACGCGAAAAAGAAGATCACCAATTATTTGGGTAGATAAATTCGTAAGGGGTGGGGAGGGGAGTTTTCAGGTTGGCAGAGCAGAAAAGTGTGATTTTCAAAAAAAGAATGTAATATAGTGGCCCCGATAGTACTTGGGCAAAAGAAACGATAGTAGGTAAAAGGAAAGCTTCTGAATAACAGTTTTTTTTCCTGACTCTTCGGTTACAGTGTAAGAAGAACTTGGTTGCCTTGTTTCCTTTTATTATAAGTTATTGTGATGTTTTCCACGCCTTTCACTTTTAAGCTTTGATTTTGCGTGGGAAGATGGGATCATTCAACATATTTAAAAGGTGTTTAAAATTGAACCAGAAATATTTTGTTAAGATTTAGGTGTAAATTTAAAGAAAATTGTTTAAAACCAACAGCGGAGCTAGCCTTATCTAAAACATTCAAACTTTCTGCTTATTCCGATTTCAACAAATCTGTGTGCGAATAATCCTACTTATCTACCCTTAAGAGTGGACATTATTAATCATAAAATATGCAAGGTTTGTCTAATACAGCTTGAATGCAAGACTACTATGTCAGGTTTCTTTCGATTTTTAAATTAAAACCTTGAGCTGATTCCTTAGCAGAGATACCGATTTTATTTCCTGTCTCTATCTTGCGAAATAAGCCTGATCTGGGTAATGAGCTCCTGGCCTGATCGTATATGAATCTTTGCGTGCACAACAACATAGGTTTTATGCAATCTTTAAAAGAATTTTTACAAAATATGAGTATTCCAATGTTTCCCGCTCTCAACCCATTGCTGTTAATTTACTCACCCTTATCCCCTACTCAGTTTCACTTGGATTATTATGACGACTACGATACATGACAGTGTGTAATGTCAAGCCTTCTTTTTATATAAAAAAAAAAAGGTAATAGGAGGAGGGTGTTTAAAACATTTGTAAAGAATCAAGTTGTTTTCAGAGCTAAAAAGATCGAGTTTGTCTCAATTTATATTGACACAGATTATAGTTTGTTATCTTCTCTGGTGCCTTGAGATGTCAGA